GTGGAAGTAACTGTGCTGCTAAGTAAAGAGGAGGATGGTGGTTCAACAGCTGTTAACCTTCCTAAATGGTGCCGGGAATCCGGATTAAGCAAAAATCAAACCCAAAAGGGTTGCGTTTCTTACATATGTGTTTTTAAAACAACTCAATTTATGATGAGGACAACATATCGATGAAAAGTCTAAATTCCGAGGATATGAAAAGTGGCATGTGTGCAGATACTACCCTCACGCGGCTAGGATTAGGCTGTCCGTAAAATATCAAACTATTCCAACTGTAGTAACTTCTCTGAACTACCTAGATATGACGTCATAATAGCATATGACGTCAAGTCACTGCATACTTTAGCTGACATGACGGGAAAGTATCATAACTCTTACATTCCTTTCACATGACGTTCAAGATTTTTAAGCGTTATTGTTTGATTCAATGTTTGGATTGTTCTTAAAGCTTAAGTGTGCTATTATGATGTTTTTAAGCTTAAGTGTGCTATTATGATGTTGAACATTTGCAATTTAATGTCGTTATTTCTTTAACTTGTCCGATATACATATATTCAAACACTAACAAAACTGACTGTGAAACACTCCCTCTTACACGTTCGTGGACAGAGTTAGAATTTATAAATCGTGTATATATTTGACTGGCACAAGTGACTAGTAAGGATAAATTGAAGATATTCTGTGTGAATCTACTAGAGAAGTATGTCCTCTAACTGAATTTTGCTGGGGGATTGTATGTAATTTATCCTATTTTGTATAAATTGCGATACAGAGTGGAAAATGCCCCCTTGTATGTGGGTAAGTTGAATTTCTCGTGGAATATTTTCTCAGGAAGTAAAATTCAAACCTGCCCCCAGCACTTTATATGTACCAAAGATCACGATGAATTGACTTATGTAACAATTTTTTCTCGATAATGTTTTGCACTTGTACCGATGCGATTTTTGTGCGACATTTAGGAATTTCTAAGTGTCCATCACGTGATCAACAAAGTCATGTGACATCACAAAAATGCATTATTACAATACCTGATTACACTCTCATCACAAGTTGACTGCAAATTGATACATAGATTACAAATTGAAATTAAAATCTAGCTCAAAATAAAACGTATATTTTAATGCATAGTAAGCCCTCGGACAGCCTTAACATAGCTGCGCATGTTGATACAGGTATCAAAGATTGACTGGAAAAAGTCCGTGCAGTACGGTTGGAAGATTAATACAAGTGCTTACCTAATTTCTTTTCTGTAGATGAATCTGCTGGTGAATACTAAGCGACAGGTTCACTGAAGTGTTGAAGACTTAACGATGATCTGTTTATATAGGAGGACTGGATGTGTTGCACACTGGGGATCCTAGTGGTAGTCTGACAGTAAATATACAGGATGACAAGAATTTTAACACTAGGATCCCAAGGGTGATCTGTTTGAGAAGTACTGTCGATCAACAAATTTTCGCAAGATAGGCATTTGATATGTTTAAGCGAGACACAATTTTCACGAATGGTAGATATTACCGTATACATGTATATCTTATGCTTAAAAATTAGTGGCGAGCATTAAATTTTAAAAAAATGCAGACTATAATAATTATGCGAAAAAAAAGTTCCTGCAAATACTATGTGATTTACAGTACTTCAATACCGTTGTACGGCAGTATTAGTGGATAGAGGCTCTGTCTGACCCCTATCTCGCAGGACTCGAGGTAGGATGGTTGTCCAACTGGACAATAGTCTGAGGCAGGCCTCTCATACAGGCTGAAATCAGTAGCTTAAGTAGTAAACACTCGATAAAAAAAATCAACCGAGCAGCCTATTTTTAGGGCCACCAAATATTTCGAAAAGATACTTCAACTTCAGCGGATTAAAAAGAAGACATCAGGTCACTTGTGCGGCAGTATTACTGGGTAGGGGCGCTGGTTGCTCCCTCTGTCGCAGAACTAAATTGAAAACATGTACCTGTACAATTCAAAAAGTAGTTAACATGACATGAAGTCCTATGACGCAATAACTGACTAAATTTGATAATCCTACTCCTTATAGTGTGCAAAATATCAAAGTTTGAATTAAATATTCAGCTTCAATTTGAAGTGACCTTGAGACCACGCTCTGTGCCCCAGGGTGATGTCTTTAACAATTTTTAATGTAAAACACATCTTCGTACTTACGTGTCAATGCGTTGATAACCTGCCCAGTGGTTCTTTATCAAAAGATTTTTATGCCCCCGTAATCGAAGATTCGGGGGTATAGAGCTTTCTTCCTGTACGTCCGTTTGTCTCTTTGTCCGCATAAATTTTAACCTTGTCCATAACTTTTGATTGGTTGAACTATGGTTTTCATATTTCACGTGTGTATTCCTTGTGACAAAACCCTTTACTTTGGTACCAACATATTTGACCTCTTGACCTTGGAGTTTGACCCATTTTGCAAAATTTTACCTAACTTTATCCTTGGCTAAAACTTTTAAACAGTTGGGCTGGGGCTTTCATACTTCACAGGTGTATTCCTTGTGACAAGGCCTTCCAATGGATATCAACAATTTTGACCTATTCTCCTTGACCTTGGAGTAATTTTGATTGGTTGGTGATAGGGCGTTCATATTTCACAAGTGTATTTATTGTGACAAAACCTTCCCTTGGGCACCACCAATTTTGACCTTGAACTTACTTTTTCAAAAAAAAAAAACTTCTTTAACCTTCATCAGAACTTACCAATGTTTGGTTCTAGGACTTTCATATTTCACAGTTATATTCCTGAGACAAGACCTTTCTTTGGGTAACATTTTTATCTCTTGGAGTTTGACTTGCATCTGAGAAACTTGAACCTTCGCCATAAGCTGCCATACGGAGGCATCGGTGTTTCACAAACACATCTTGTTTTCAGCAATTTTTGCTTTTATTCCCCAATTATCTCTCCTTATTTAAGGATCACATCCCTAGTTTAAGTTTAAATGAAAGCACCAAGGCCGCTCATGGCAAATTTGAGAAAAATTTACCAAATAGTTCTCCGAGATATGGTCGGTAAGTCCAAAAAAGTTAACGCATACTGCAATTAGCTCTTTGAACCTCTGGCTAAAAAGAGATAAAAATAAATTACAATTTCATAAAATTTTGAGACTTCCATGTAACATCATTTGTTCTCTATAAGTTGTACATGTTTTTACTCCTGAAAGTTTCGAATTTCATACATCCTTGATACAGCGAAAATTTAAAATTTTCCAATACACCCCTGCCACCTTAGAGTAAAACTGGCTTTTCTGTCTATCTGATCAATACACTTGGCTCATGGCGGCGATCCCACTTCTGGAATTTCTAGGTATCCGTGTGATAGGCATTGTTGTATGATAAATTTGTAATCAATATTTGTAAGTTTATAAGATATATTACAGTTACCTGTATTATTTTATTGAAGAAAGGAATAGACTGATATTGCCCGTCTCTATCGTTCGAAAGAGACTGTATATCGCGCATATCAGACATGCAAGCCAGTACAAGAAAGGAACTGAAATGAAAGAATTTCACTAGTACGACCTAGCCAGAAGTTCAATAAGGAGGAAAAGTTAGATTGAGCGTACTAATGTCGACCTTGTAATTGTAACCACGAATTACTAAGAATCAAATCACCATTATCGTTTATAAATCCAGGTCTCGTAGTAATAGTTCACTTGTTTGATTAGAAATAATGCTTGAAAAATTGTATTTTACTGTAACAGGATTTGGTTTTTACTGTCGGTCTTAGGTACCACTCACGGCACCAATGTAACCGGATTTCGTTACACGGTATCAATTACACGATACCAGTGTAACGAAAATGATTTATGAAAATACCTCTTTTATTCTCAAAATTAACTCCTTAAACGACACACATTTTCTTTATCAATAATAGTACTAGTACTTCGCGTTTTATTCCAAGTTCTTACTAACCAATAAACCTGTTGTATATATTTCAATTTTATTGATAGCACAAAATATTTACATGTATATTTATAACAAAGACATGTACTAACGACCTATCTTACCAATGGGCCTTAATAAAAAAAATTAGTGCCTACAGATGTAAAAATTCTAGAACCCATCCTAGAGAAGTGACCAAGCAGGCACGCAACGTTGAATCAACGTTGAAAGTAGGTGGAATATAGGTTGCAACGTTGAACAGCTATAGTTCAACGTTGTTTCAACGTTGAGGTTTCAACGTTGAATCCTCAACCTTTTTACAACGTTGAAGATGCAACATATTTTCAACGTTGAATGTTCGTCGATATTTCAACGTTGAAGATTCAACATATTTTCAACGTTGAATCCTTAACCCTTTCACAACGTTGAAGATGCAACATATTTTCAACGTTAAATATTTCCTGTTGTTTAATGGTTGAAGCGATGTTAAAAATGCAGCATATTTTCAACTTGGAATGTTCGTTAATATTTTTACGTTGAAACAACATCGAGGATGCAACATATTTTCAACGTTGAAAAAGTGAGGAAAAGTTAATGTTGAAACGACGGGTAATGAGCGCCTTATTTTTCAAGGTCAAAATAGTAAGGGTTATTGAACGCTAAATCAGTGTAATTTTTTGCTATATATGCATTGTTAGAAAATATCATGATTATTCACAATAAATGAAATGTATTATGAATTAATTTAATTTAATTTGATATGAGTTAATATGAAGTATGACATCTATATTCAACTCTCCACTGTAATTGCACGTTTCAAAAAAGTTAATTTGTAAATTAATTCTGAATGCAGTGTTTATGCATAAATGAAAAAGAGAAACATTTTGTGCTTAAGATAAGCTTTTTATAAATAATGACATCTTTATCCAATACTTCACTGTAATTCCATGTTACTATAGAATTAATAAAAATAATAATTTATTCCAAATTAATGTAATCTAATTAAAATTAGACTTCTTAGATCCGCGCCGTATACTCTGCGCAGGATGTATACGGAGCGGAACTAAGAAGTCTGATTTTAATTTGATTGTGCTTTTGTTGCATTTATATGAAAGGAAAAAAGTAAACTGTATTAGATATATTACTTTAATCTTTCTTATCACAAAATATAAAAACATTAAAATAAACACGTTAAAAAAGGTTTAACAGTTTTCACACTAACGTACAATTAACCCCGGTCAGTTTACATCACTTAGATCCACTCCCCAAATTTATCTTCAATGCATCAGATAAGGAGTGGTTCTAGCTTAGCTGGTCAGTTTCAGTGTCATGATAACCTTGTTATGCAATTTTCTTACTGGGCAGCGATACAGAGAAGTTGTTTGCAGCTTATCTAGGTCAACATTTGAATTCAACTGATGGACAAGAAGTGCGCGTCTTCTTGCTGTTCACATATTATGTATTTTACACGGCATGCACAAGGATTAAGGCTGGATTATCAACTTCTGCTCAGTAAGTATAATTTCCTTTTCATGGATTTAGAAGAAATTTAAGATTTTCTAGTACCCATACATCATTTTATTCTTGTTTTATTAGCATATTTGTAATCTGCATGCAAAACTTTAATACTTCGCAATTACTAATGGCTTTATCCTTACAACTTATTTTGAATGGAGACAGTAACCTTACTTACAGCCAAAATATTGCAGTATTTAAACTTGTTCATGAATTAATTACATCTACAAAGAGATCTGCATGATATTGTTTCTCTTCTTTTTTTTTTAAATTGTCAAACCACAGAACCAGCATCTATTAATGTGTTCTTATTAACTTTCACATTTATACCTGTATTATTTTTGTTAGTCATATATGTTAAACTGCAAACATATTGTATCATCAGCTCACTTATAATTAATTTTCTACCATTTATTTTGTCTTGTTTTTATAAATTTCTTTTGAATATACACATGTATATATTTATTTTTTCAATGATATGTAACTAATATTTACTTGTAAATGTATGACATTGACCTTGTATTATGGAGAGGACTTATACAGGCAGTGCCTGTTGTCCAACCTTATATTGTTTAAATTAATTTGCGTGAAATGCACATCCTTAGTTCGTGTATTTTTGTGTTTGGTTGATATATATTTGCACATGAAATTAAAATATAGTATACAATTTAATTGCAGTTGGCCGTAATTAAGGTTCCATCAACCACTGCCGGCTTTGAGACGTAATTGATGCCCTGATTGGATGAGATCCATCGCACGTGAAAATTACAAAGGAATGCAACATTGTGTGTGTACATCTCCATGTTTTTAACATTTTTCTTCAGTAATAATTATTTATAATCATACTGTTACAGTTATGAATTCTAACATGAGGACAAATATAATTCTTTTCATTAATTCCAAGTATAAGAACATGTACTTTTGTCTGTTGTTGTTGTTTTTTATTATTATTATTCATGTATATTTTTATCATTTGAAATAACAAGTTATCAAATAAATGACTTTCATATCATTATTTCTTTTGGTAATAGGTTTTGCATTAGAGGATGGAGCTTTCTGTTCATTTCTTTCCGACTGACGAGTCATTTTGTGGGACTTACCGGTACATGTAACTATCAATGGATCCGCCACTTTGTGGAACTTAGTTTTAGACAGATGCGTGATATGATGAACCTGGATATGATTACTGTGACCCCCTTTTCACTAGGAAGATAAATTTTGTTAAACAGTGATTTATGAGATTCGGTGATTGGATCCTGGATTTATCCTTGTTTTTAAAAAACAGTTTAAAATAATCTTACTCAGAATCTTAATACTGAATTACAACTTACGTATTTGGCAACTTGAATAAAAACTTTTATTAGAATGTGAAATGTATTTGTTTATAAAGCAAAACTCAGTATGACTTCAACCAAATATCAACATTTGTACAACCAAAAAATTTCAACCAAACGTCAACCTAATTTCAACCAATGTTCAACCGTTTTTCAATGTTGATAATTAACGTTGAAACAACGTTGAAATTTCAACCTTGCCTCAACTTTCATTTGCAACCAAAATTCAACTATAAATCAACCAAAGTTCAACCCATTTTCAACGTCTATTCAACGTTGAAAATTGACGTTGAAACAACGTTGATGTCTCAACGTTGCCTCAATTTTCATATGCAACCAAAATTCAACGTTGAATCAACGTTGAAATGCCTGCTGGGGACCCACCCTTGCACGAAAAATCTAACTATGCCTAACCTAACCGGTTTACCAAAAATAGAAAAAAGGAACTGGAAATTATAACTAAAGTGGACGTGTAAATGAAGGAAACAAAAGGGCAACTTGAACGATACAGAGACGGAGACCGGGATCCACCCCTATTATAAATAAAAGGTGAGCTGGCACGAACCTTTGAGAAGGTTCCAATAAAACTGGCCACATGATATAACTTTTTATCGCCGATATATGGCTGAAATAGTGCCGATTCGGCGTAAAACATTAATCAATCAATCAAACCAACTGATCTACACGTGAAACGCTGGACTTTAAATACAACGCGATTTGAAGGTGTGTCTCTTATCCAATTCAAAACGTACCTTCTATGTATAACCCAGGGTAGACAGACATCTCGGCCCAACGACACTTCGACCTTGACAGGTCGGCCCAAAATAATTGGCGCGTCGGCCAGTATAAAGACTTCTCGGCCCAAGCAAAATTTTGTAATAGAAATAATTAATCCAGTGTCTGAATTGATATTATTGTAGTTACAACTAGAACTGTCCAAAAGGGACAAATACCCCCCGCTGGGTTTTTCAGAGAAGGGACCAAATCACTAATGTTTTCTAGATGTGAGAGGTGTTCACAATTTGCTTAAACATTTAGAGTGAAAATTTAATTACTCATTATATTTTTTTAATGAATGAAACTAAGGTGCAGCCTAATAAAACATCAATACTAGTTATTACAGTGTTTTTTATTACATTGAAAAAATAGTTTGCAACTATCTGTCATCTTTGTGAGACATGACACTCAGCAAATTGATTGCTGAAAAAAAAAAATCATAATTAATTATACAAAATCAAATTGATCTTAATACCTTTATATCGAACTCATTTTAAAAATAAAAGGCTGGTTCCAGTAACTATGTATTTTGACAGACATAAATTACAATTAAGAGACTTAGACAACAGAGATCTTTATTTCTTTCTGCCCAAATCCCAGGAGATATACGGTAGATCAGAGATGTCCTAACAGCATCCCACACTGAACTCATTAATTAATCTTTAACTGGATGCATGTCCACTCATTACTCCCAAGGGAATGGATTTACACTATCTGCTGTGTAATGTAAAAACCGTTTTTAATACTTTGTGATTTTTTTTAGTTCTAATGAGAGTTTTAAGCTGTAGTTCACATTTTTGTACAGATGTTGTAGATTCTATGTCTCAAACCTTAGACATGAACCTGAAATGACCAAGTCAATAAAAATGAAAAAAAAAATCCTGTAAAATGCAGAAAAATTATCAAATAATGTTGAAAATACCAGGTGCACATCTTCATATGGTAAATAATAAGTGTACAAATTTTCATACAAATCTATGCAATAGTCTCTGGGAACAGATCCGGACAAAACCACATAATAAAAATGAAAAAAACACCTGTAAAATGCAAAATAATTATCCAATCATAATGAAAATACCAGGTGCACACCTTCATATGGTGAAGAATAAGTGTACAAATTTTCAGACAAATCCTTGCAACAGTTTCCAAGAAATGGTCCGGACAAAATCTCGTCTACAGACAGACGGACAAGCTGATTCCAATATACCCCCCCCTAAACTTCGTTTGCGGGGGGTATAATTATTCTTTCTGAGGATTAAATGATTTTCTTCATATAAATCGAATTGGGAAAGGGGGGGGGGTCTATGATAGATAATTGATTCATTTCTATTTATAACTAAAGAACTAAAATCATACAAGTCTCTCTCTTGTGGAAAATGCGCAATATATATGCTTTCTAATACTAGATTTCAACATACTAGCAATATTTTTTCTTACGATTTTATATATTTCTATTATAAGAATCGTATGTTATCGTATTATTTGCATTGTTTCTCTGACGATTTAATATAGTCAATAATTTGTGAAAAGAAATGTATTACATTTAAACTTTTTTTTTTTGGGGGGGGGGGTGGGAGGTTAATGCGAGAATAAACAGATGCACCCTTTGTGATTTTTACGTCACCTGAGTTAACTCAGGTGACCTATTGCTATCTGTTTTCGTCCGTCGGCGTGCGTCGTCCTTCGTGCTTTAACATTTGAACATTTTAGCTTCTCTGAAACCGCTCAACCAATTTCAACCAATTTTGGCATATAGCATCTATGGGTGAAGGGGTACAAAAATTGTAAAATTCATAGACCCTGCCCCCCTGGGGCCTGAGAGGTGGTGCAAAAACCACTAAAATTAATGCAATCTTTATCAATCTTCTTCTTTACTCCTGGACATCAAGCAGTCAAACTGTTGGCATGATTGAAATTTGAAAATCTTCTCCTCTGCTCCTGGGTATTGAAACAGTGAACTATGTAGATAGTTATGAAGAAGAAGAATGCTTCTTCCAAAATTGTGAATTTCATGGCCCCAGGGTCAGGGGTTCTGGTGTTGGGTGGGGTTCTATTGATTATGTAGTGAAAATGCATTAATTTTTTAAAAATCTCCTCCTCTGCTCCTGGGTATTAAACCAATCAACTATAGATAGTTATGATGAGGAAGGGTGCCTCTTCCAAAATTTTGAATTTCATGACCCCTGGGTCAGGGGTTCTGGTGTTAGGGTGTTGCACTATTGATAATATAGTGAAAATGCATCAATTCTTTGAAAATCTTCTCCTCTGCTCCTGGGTATTAAACCAATCAACTATATAGATAGTTATGATGAGGAAGGGTGCCTCTTCCAAAATTTTGAATTTCATGGCCCCTGGGTCAGGGGTTCTGGTGTTAGGGTGTTGCGCTATTGATTATATAGTGAAAATGCATCAATTCTTTGAAAATCTTCTCCTCTGCTCCTGGGTATTAAACCAATCAATTATATAGATAGTTATGATGAGGAAGGGTGCCTCTTCCAAAATTTTCAATTTCATGGCCCCTGGGTCAGGGGTTCTGGTGTTAGGGTGTTGCGCTATTGATTATATAGTGAAAATGCATCAATTCTTTGAAAATCTTCTCCTCTGCTCCTGGGTATTATGCCAATGATCTAAGTACATAGTTATGACGAGGAAGGGTGCCTCTTCCCAAATTTTGAATTTCATTGACCCTGGGTCAGGGGTACCGTGAAGGGGGGGGGGGAGCACTAATGAGTATATAGTGAAAATGAATGAATGCTTTGAAATCTGCTCTTTAATATTAATCAAACATTTATGATGAGCAAGGGTGCCTTTTCCAAAATTGTGAAATCTGTGCCCCCAGGGTCGGGGGTTCCTGTGGGGTGGGACACTACTGATTATATAGTGGAAATGCATTTTTTTTCTGTTCCTCTTCTCTGCCTCTGGGTATTAAGTAATCAAAGTAAGCATGCTAACTGTATAGTTACGATGAGCAATGGTGCCTCTTTCATGGACTCTGGTTTAAAATACGAACCAAATTTAATGGTTGGAAAATTGTTACATGATACTCAAGTGACCTATAAGGCCCGTGGGCCTCTTGTTTTTTCTACAATATGGTTGAAACCATTAATCGTACATAAAAATTTTATGTTTCATTGGCTGAAAAGCACACATTGATAGAGGAAGCGTAGGGAAAAACGGACTTGAGATAGTTTAGCGATATAACTGAATTTGTAAATGTACAAGGGTCTTTTAAAAGTTCTGTTAACTGTTTAATAAAATGTGAACTTCCATGAGTATTTTCTTAGGAAATAAAATAGAAAATATTCAATAGATATAAATGTAATGTCTCACAATAAAGTCTGCTCGTTTTTTGTTTGTTGTTTAACGTCCCTCTCGAGAATTTTTCACTTATATGGAGACGCCACCACTTGCCGGTGGAGAGCTGCAAATTTTGACCTATGCTCGGCACTCGGGACCATTGAGCAGTGAGGCATCTTATTCGTGCCAGCACCTACTGCGACACGGGACCTCGGTTTATACGGTCTCATCCGAAGGACCGGTCCCCACAGTGGGATTCGAACCCGCGACTAAGGATCAACTCCTTACTCCGCGACTCTTATAGCAGACGCTCTACCACCGCGCCACGCGGGCAACAGCCTGCTCGTAATTAACCCCTCCTTAACAGATTAATTGTCACCAGTATGACACGCACTTGAGACTCCAAAGAATGCACCACGGCATTTTGTTTGTTTATCAGTTAGCACCTTAATTATGTCTTCTCATTCCTTGATTATAGTCAAAATGCTCTTGGAAGGTTTTTTATAATCTAATACAAAATGATCTCATATTCGATTAATTTTTTCAATCAATATTTTATTTAAGTCGCTATTTGGAAATATAATATATCTTGGGCCGATCTGTCTGAGCCGAGGTGTCAATTGGGCCGAGGTGTCGTTGGGCCGAGGTGTCTGACATTCCAACCCAGACAAGGACGTTTCCCAAATCATTGTATAAAACTAGAAAGTTTCCGAATGTATAATAAACGATCTTAACCAATCCAAGTTATCGTTATTTTCAAACTCCGTAAAATTCAATCCTATTCCCCCCCCCCCCCCCTCAGAATCAAAATATCTTGAAAACTGTTTGAGGGTAAAAAAA